ACTTTATAAACTTTGCTACAGCTTGCTATATAGCAATACAGAATTTCCACATGCTTTTACTAACTTTGCACAAAACTTTGCAAATTTACCTGCTTTGCAAAACATTTTGCATGTAACCAAATTTGCACCTAACTTTGCAGACTAGCATGCTAATTTTACATGTGACTATCAGGCTTAACACATAATTTTACCAACTTTGCAAGCAACTCCACAGACATCCCACTTAACTTTACCAACTTTGCAGACTTGTGGCCTATGGATTAAGGCATTCCACCTCACCAGCTTCGCACATAACTTCAGACTTTCCACCTACTTTAACAACTTTGCCCGCTGGCTGTTTACGTAAGTTTGCATGCAGCATTGCAGACTCGCCACATAGTATACAGGCTTTCCACATAACTTTATAAACTGTGCATGCAACTTTACAAGCTTTGTACACAACTTTGCAACATTTCACGTAACTTCACCAACTTTGCAACATTTCACGTAACTTCACCAACTTTGCATGCAACTTTCTTTGTAACTTTACCTACTTTGCATGCAACTTTCTTTGTAACTTTACCTACTTTGCTAGCAATTTTCCAGACTTACCACGTAACTTTACAAACTTTGTGCGCAACTGTCACACATAACTTGACCCACTTTTCCTGTAACTTTTCCACACAACTTTCCCAACTGTGCATGAAGCATTACAAACTTTACACATAACTATACAGATAATTGGTACCCATGCTGGCATATACAATTATTGTGTATCTGTATTCTGAATAAGAAAATTAGCCTTAAAAACAAATCTTACAAATCTGTCTTTAATATAATCTTTATTAAAATACTCACAATGTTTTATTTGCATAAACAATTCACACCAACAGGCAGAAATCCTGATTATATTTAACGAGATTAAAATTACTGTTCTTTTATTTGTCACCCCAACCCCCGCCGATCACCATCACGTTGTCAAGTTTCATTCTTAATGATGTGAGGACAATTACTGGAACAGCACTTGCAAGGTAATTCGTGATAGTAAAAGAAGTGATAATGATACACAAATAAATATCAAATTATTTTCAAATATACAATACATTATCAGCACCACACTTGGAAGGTGGACAAAAAGTGGAACTATTCATGTTCTAAAAATCATATGAGATTGGACAGCTGCTACTTGAAGATATCATAGACACTGTCTCAGTCAGATTCCTCAATTATATAAACCAAGACAATAACATCTTTGGAGAGACTCAGCTCTAACAATCATGAGCTCCAAGAAATTTCAAAAATTCTGAAGTGCTACAGTAAGTGTCACAGACACAGCTGAATCGTTACAATAAATAGTTACTAAGTGAAATAAAAGATACCCTTAGAGAAATTATAACAATAATGCATAATAATATTTGACAATATCACAAATATTTGGCATTGATATAGGAGGAATGTTTAATTGCACAATAATTACAGGATCATACTATTCTGGTAAAGTTAGGCCTGAGTCTCTAAGAGCGACAGTAGGCTAAGAGATGACTAGGTGTTTATGTTTCTAAAAGAGGGGCAGTGGGCTTGGAGAGGGCTAGGTGTTTACATGTCTAAAAGAGGGGCAGTGGGCTAAATTTATTTATAAAATACATTTATGTTCTTGATCCAATGTGAATGTGATCACATAATTGGTTGGTCTCTGTGATTGACAGTTTGTGATTTGACATTGTGTGTTCAGACCTGGTGATTTGTTTCTGTGATCTAACATATATGTGATCAGACCTGGTAAGTCAAAGTGGTCATCTTAAGATAGTTGAGTGGTTCATTGCTATTGCTAGGGTTTCATTGGGCCAAGTTTCAAAGTTTGGAGGTTTACCGTCTTTAAAATAACAATACCAGCTACACTGTTGATAACTCACCAATCTGTTACTACACAACAGATAAATTTAATTTAGTACTGTTTACATATAATGAGTTTCAGAAATGAATAAAATATCACTCTACCTGTATGTAATACAACATAAAATACAGTTATATAAAGTTTTCAGGAAAAACAAATCCAACACACACACACTTTAGATTATTCATCATATTCAATCAAATTGCACAAGCAGACAAATATGGTATATAAATATACTTAATTTCACAGAGAGTTGTCGAAAACATAACATGGACTTGATCCAAATTGTAAAATGCCAGTATACCACTTGGATGCAAGCTTCCAACCTAGAAATTTTCAAGTTCAAAAATGTTAATGGGATGTTTTTGTAAGCTGTTTAAACTCATTATAGAGTTGGATCTACAGTTTACAATCAGTCAACAATACGAAGCAAAATTGTTTTTGCAATAACACATTCATAAACACAAAATAGCCACCAGTCGGTCATTTTGAATCTGATCTGAAAAACAAATGAACATGTATGAAGGTGCCATAATGTCTATTGTATGTATCAAGATTGAAATTCATCTGGTTCCAAAATAACAGAAATGCTTGATTTTGATGAATTTTTAACATTAAAATGGCAGGCTTTCGATCATCCGAAATCAAATCATGGAACAAATGAATGTGTATATAGATCAGCCTAGGCATGTCTGAGATCAAGGTCTCCATGGACTGACAGACTTAGACAGACTCACAGAGTCCACAAGTCCCCATTTTCGAGATGTGCCAAAAAAATCGAGGACTAAAAAAGGGCTCTCACCTTTTTTGAAATCCCTTGATGAGATCATTGCATATGTTAAATAACGAGATTGAACTATCATGTTTATATGTTTACAGTAGCGTACTGGCATCCAGGGTAGGTACAACTATACAATGTAAATTACACCAGATAGACATATTTGACTGTCAACCTGGCCTTACAAATTCAAGATCTCCAAAGTGAGAACTGTGGTTGGCTCCCATCTTGTGACTGACGAGGTTTCACATTCTCTTCCGCCAGGACATCACCACCGAGTAGCGCTGCCATTTGTGAAGCTGTAAAAGTGATAATATAACTAGAATTACAAAATAAAAATAATTTATATTGAGAAAAAAATGTCTTTTATGTCTCCTGCTATTATCATATAACTAAAAAAAGGTCATGCTGCTATAGATAGTGGGGATATTATTACAAATGAAAAGATCATCAGTAGTGAACACTCCCAGGGAGGGCACTCTATATGCCATTACTACCCCATGTGCATTTCAAATTTAGCGGGAAAGGGGGGGTGTTTTTCACCTTCTAAAGCGGGCCCATGGGAGGCAAATAGGCCCTTAGGAATAAACTCACAGGGTTGCTGTGCCCACTGCAGGCCCCCTCTTGCAACAACCACTCCCATACACCGCCTTGGGCCCTGTATTGGCGGACCCATAGCCCGACCAGACCGCAAATGTCAGCTCGAACTTTCCCAACGGGACTTTCCTGCCACTTCCAACATGAGAATACGGAAAATCACCCCCTCGGGTTTATCCACACTTCCGAAACTCTTTATAGTTTTCTAGGTTTTCTGCCATGTATTCAGGGTAAAGTCACTCGGAGTTGAACATAAAATTGTGTACTGGTATCTGATGGAATAAGAATCTTGTCAAAGTTGTGTGTATTGTGTATTAAACTATCAAATAAATGATCATATTCACAATCATATCAATATTTTTCATCTTTCTTTATCAAACAACGAATGACACCAAAAGGAGTTGCATACACAGTAACCATAAGTAGCTTGTTTGGGTTGATCACACTCTACTTGAGTGCATAAAACGGCAGAGAATGCTCGCAATAGGGGAGAGATGTTCAAAATATAGTTCTGAAAAACGGGTGCTTTTTTTTACAATATGTCTGCTCTAGGGGGTACTAAATTTACATTGCATCTGCAATAGAGGGTATGGTTTGCCTAGGGGCCTATTATTTTTTAGGAAGAATGCACATGGTGTAAGATTTTAATATAGAGCGACCTCCCCGGGTGAACACTACACAAAGTACAAAATTTAAGCTAATCTCATATATTAGCATACATATATATCAGATAGACCTAATTACATTCACACATGGGAGGAAACAGTGGTTAGCATGGGCTGAAGAAAGCCAAATCTTGTTACAAATATACAAAAACCATCAGTTGTTTTAACTATGATTACTCAGTACAGTAACTTGAAAGGTATACATGTTAGTTCTACAGTTATAAAACAATACACAGCAAATTCAGAAAGTGCAGATTGCAGAATAACATGAAGTAGCACAGAGACTCATCGTCGGACAGAAATTTGTCCCTTAATATACCTTTCCCTTCCATCTTGATGTTACGGGTAAGGTAAAAAAGGCAGACTATGTTTAAAAGAAAGTGATTTCATGCAATTGTAGAAGAAAGCTATCACTGTATTATAAATTTGTCAATTATATGTTGTGTGGTTAGTATGATGGTACCTCAATAGATTGCAGTTCTTGATACTGATACACATATGTCTAAAGATATATGACATGAATGTCTTTTACACTCATATGAAAAACTGAAGACAGTAATTTGGGTGCTTTTTTTGCATTTGTATTGAATGTTAATGATCAAAGCAAGTATTCCTACATGTAAACCAAAATGGCCATCAGTCAGCCATTTTGAAACTGTTTTCAGAAAGGACATCATTATTGTGAGTTATTTTCATTACACTGAACCATATGTGATTGTAGTTGTGTCAACTTCTCATTGCTGAGATTAAAATGGAACTGTATTGTTTTTCTTGATGTACTAATCAAACATACATAAAGTATGATGACATCATGAAATACTGTGACGTTTACAAGGTATATTTAATGCTGAATGTCACAACTGTAAATGAGGGTGATAATTCATGTGAAAATATATTAGGCATACGCATAAAATAATAATCATGAAATGTGTTACTTACAGTCATGAGTTCTATTTTTTTTCTGAAATGGATCTGCTCTGATTGCATATGCAGAATCAGGTCTAGAATATGCAGCCTGAAAAAAGAAAAATTACAAATAAATTATTATTATTAAATGCTATATTTTGTGCGTAAAACGTAAGAGTTTCAAATGTCACAGATGAAATTTCTGAGACAAACATACAGTCTGACAAACAGTGTTTGATAAGTCAAAGACAATTAATTAACACCCCCACACACACAAACCTCAAACCCATTACCTCCTTTACAACAAAATACAAAAAGTGTTAAATAAAAATTAGGCAGAGGGTTCTCCGACCCGCATATTCACATAGTTCATACCCACCATGGACTCTGATCAGTCAAAATGACTATTTTGAACTGTAGGCATTAATCAGGGATTCTTCCAATGACAGAGAGATAAAATCTAGGTCAGGGGAAGCCCCATGACCCCAAGATTTTTTCCCTTACGTCACAAACCATGTGACTGAGGTAATGTGGCGGGGCCATCATACCCTGATATTCACTCTGGCTCCTTTCTCTCCGCACCGAGGACTAGACCAACGTTACAGAAAGAGTGGGGTAGTTGGGGGGACCCGGAGTCTATGGTGGGTATGAACTACGTGAATTGGCGAGTTTGGAGAACCCTCTGCCTAAATTCATTACATTCAATTACCCACCATAAACTCCGGTCAGTCAAAATGACTATTTTGAACTGTAGGCAGAGTCAGATGCCGATAGGTGGCGGGTTTTCTGAGCAAACAGAAAATGATGAAAGTCTTTCTTCCCAGTCCGGGATGATACATTCTACAACTACCACTCATCACCTAGCTAAAACATTGCCTGTGTCTGTCCCCAGTGCAAAAAGCCAAAAATGCTGCTAGGGTGACAGGGTTCTGTGTGCCAGAGAAAGCTAGACCCAAACCCAATTCAGGGGGTAGTATGCTTTCGAAGTAAAGACCGAAACAGTTCTGCATGAGGACATAGGTCGAAAAGCGAGACCTGGAAACTGACGGTAAAGAAATCTGTCCACAAAGATGCTGAGACGGACTTATTGCCTATGCGCAGGGACCCTTGTGGTCGTTCGGTATGGGTCAGCAACCAGAGACTGACCCGCTACGACGGAATCCAACATAAAGCGGCTCTCCTCAACGAACTGGGTGTCTCTTAGGTAGTAGTTGATAAGACGTTTTGCATTCTCCAGAAGCCTGCCCTCAGTATATGTTCGACGCTAGCGCTAGTGAGTTAGCAATCGCACGGACCTCATGCGCTCATACTTGGTGTCTCTGCAAGCTCTGAGTCGAGGAAGTTAAAGTATTATAGCCCTCATAAGCACTACTGGTGTTTCGACTAGCGTTTCCAACAGAAGTGGAAACTAGGCCTTTGATGGCCAATTGGGTGCGACCAGTGTCAATATGGAGGTGTGCATCTGTCGAAGTTTTCTCCGGTACCTGGCGAAACAGCGAGAAGGGAGGAAAGGCGTACACATTTATGTGGGTCCACAGGATCGGCAAGGCGTCCCTGGCCCAGGTTCCTGAAGTCGGCAGGAGTGTTACGTACGTTGGGAGCTTGGCATTCCTGGGTGTGGCAAACCGGTCAATCTTTGTCCCGTCCCACAGCCAAAACAGCCTGGAGGCTACCTACTGGGGTATCAGCCACTCTGTGTTCTGGAGACGGAGCCACCTTGAAAGGGTGTCTGCCAGACTGTTCCTCTCCTCTGGAAGGTGGTGTGCAGTTAGCTCCACATTGTATTTCAGGCACCAAAGGCAAATTTGCTCTGCTAGAACTGACAACGATGGGGAACGCACCCCCCTCCTTGTTGAAGGAGACCACCGCTGTGTTGTCTGTGCAGAGCAGGACTTGAACTACGGGTAGAAAGTGTGGTAGTGCTAAGTGCACTGCTTTCAGTTCAAGCCGGTTGTCATGGCGTTTCCGAAACTGCGGGGGCCATATAAATTAGGCTTGTTCGTCCAATAGATGCGCTTCCCAATCTAGGAGGGAGGCATCTGTTACCAGAGTCATAGCTGCGGTGAATGGGTCCAAGGAGACCCCTGTCTGAGGTTGGCCAGTGACGACCATCAGGGCAGGGCTTCCTTCGCTTGGCCCGAGATCAATACCCACCTGTCTAGTTCCCGTAGGTGAGCTTGGTGTTGGCGTTGTACCGGGCGGCTGCGCAATGTGGTCTTAAGCACTACCCTTCGAACCGAAGTCATCTTTCGGATGATCCATCTAGTTCTCGGAGGGACACTGAGCGCTGACTAGGTGTTCGGCTAGGCTGCTTAGCGCCAAGCAACGCGCTTGAAATAGATATACCAAGCCTACCTCTGTGTCGAACTCCATGCCAAGGAACACCAACTGTTGCGTTGGGTAGGGATGGGACTTTGTCTGATTTACTAAAGAGCCCATCTGGTGAAGTAAATCCTGTTAGCCTTACTTGCTCGGCTAATAACCCCTTGTTGGGTTATGTAATAACCAGTCGTCTAGATACAGATTGATGTGTACCAACGTTTGGTGAAGCAGCAGCACCACCTGTTCCATCCATTCTGGTGGAACGTAGGGGGCTGTGCATAACCCGAAAGGAGGGGGCACCCGAGATTTTAATACTTGAAGGAGATGGTAACTTGCCAGGTGCATCAGTATGTGCAGGTAAGCCCTGCTTAAGTCTAGTGAGGCTAGCCAGTCAAAACGGTAGATGGATAGAAGAAGGCTGCATGGCGTCTCCATGTTGAACCGATCGAGGAGCACGTATTGACTCAGTCTTTCTGAGTCCAGAACTGGATGCCCGCCACCTGTAGAATTGGTACTACAAACACAATTGAGTATAAGCCTGGACTTAATGCCGGCTGATCTACCTTGTGTGTGGCGCCCTTTTCCAGCAAACTGTCTTCTTCCTGTCTGATTGCTTCCGCCTTGCAGGAGTCTCCTGGCAGTGCCCCAATTGGGGAGACACTGACGGGAGAGATGGAGATTTCAGCGGTTTCCTGTAACCGTGTGTCACCACCTGGAAAGTCCAGGGAAGGGTCACCCGTTGCCTCCAAACCGGACTACACCGGCGCAATCTGTGTGCGACAGGGATATGTGGCCATGGGTTCGTCAGTTGCGAGGTGTGGGTGCTCTCTTCTCCCATGAGGTGAGTTTCTGAGACTGCACCCGCCTTCTCCCCATCAAAGAGGGTGGAAGATGTCCAGTCTGCGTAACTGAGGCAGTTACGTATTCCCTGACTCAGTTCAGTGCAAGGACGAATCCACAAAGGGACCCGCAACGGGCCCATAGAAGGAAAGACCTCCAGGGGCACAGCCTCGCCGTTGCTGGTAAAATCTGGTAAACCACCGCCTGAAAAAACAGACTGTAAGGGCCGAAAAATATCAATACCTCCACTGTCGAGCCTCCTACTCGACGTCACAGTACACGAAAGACCAGTAGCCGAGCGTGAGGACTTTCCATTCATGTCAACACACAACTCACTTTAACCGATTTTTACTAGACGCGCGATGTTGCTGTGAAATACTAGCGAGGCGACAGTCCCAGCAATTTGCATGGCTCTGGAAAACACTCCAGTGAAAACACACGCCTTCAAGGCAAAAACCCTGAACCCTGCACGCAGTCACGGCAAAAATAGCATTTCAGATGCAGGTTCTATGCGCTTCCAGCAACTCTGCCCTCAGGTCATGATGGATAGTCCCAGACTGAGCTGGCGAGAACGCATATGGCTGTTCCCCTTTACCCGGCTGGCCTGAGCCTCGGCCTCACCCAAATCAGTGGGAGAGTCGCGGCTGAGAACGGGAACGGACATGTTTTGAATGCAAGCGATGCTTTATGTGTTTCTTCCTGCTTGCCAACCGAGGGGTCGCAGTGGAGACAGCTCGCTCTGACTGCATCTGATCTACCCGGCCTGCCAGGAAAGCAATTTGCCTCGACAGTCCTTCGACCAAAGCTCAGAGGCAAAATAGGTGCCATGCAAGGACGAATCCACAAAAGGACCCACAACGGGCCCCATAGGAGGAAAGACCTCCAGGGGCACAGCCTCGTCGTTGTTGGTAAAATCGGGTAAACCACCGCCTGAAACAACAGACTGTGAGAATGCCCTTCAATCAGCGGGGGCAGACCGAAAAATATCAGTACCTCCACTGTCGAGCCTCCTACTCGACGTCTCAGTACACGAAGCACCAGTAGCTGAGCGTGAGAACTTTCCATTCATGCCAACACACAACTCACTTTAACCAATTTTTACTGGACGCGTGACCTTGCTGTGAAATACTAGCAACGCGACAGTCTCAGCAATTTGCATGGCTCTTGAAAACATCAAAGGCCTAAGAACTCCAGTGAAAACACACACCTTCAAGGCAAAAACCCCGAACCACGCACACAGTCACGGCAAAAATAGCATTTCGGATGCGGGTTCTATGCTGGTAAATTCTGATTATAACCACTGCACAGTCGCCTCCCGAGCCTCTGGTGCGGTCCTTACATCTATCCATTTCTAAATACATTGGTAAGACATAAAAATGAACACGACATGCATGAGGGAAGCAAAATACAGTTGGAAAAGGTGATGCAAAGAAACCAACCTCAGACACATGGTTCGTGACGTAAGGGAAAAAAATCTTGGGGTCATGGGGCTTCCCCTGACCTAGATTTTATCTCTCCGTCCTTGGCAGAATCGCTGATTAATGCCTACAGTTCAAAACATTCATTTTGAGTCTATGGTGGGTAATTGAATGTAGTGAATTTTACCATTCTGATCCCTGACCCTGGTAGTCTTCCTAATGTTGGTACAGAGGGTATTACACTGGTGGGTAATGATGTTGTGGATGATGATGGCCTCTCAATCTGAAATATAAACAGTTTAATATGGAGATGGTTTAAGATACCGTAATGAAGGACAAATATCAAGCAGTGTGCATCTTAGAATTTTATATAAACAAACAATTTGTTTACACATGTTGTGTACTTTGCAATGAGTCCCATATCAAACCCTTTAATATGAGTACATAAATACAGTATCTTTGCTTAATGCAGTTATTATTACCCTGATAATTCATAACACCATCTGTTGTACTTACCTTTTTAATGATACCTTTTTCTATGAGTGTTTCTTTACTTGTTCTTGGACAACCCAAAACTGCAAAGTGTCCCCAGATTTTATCTGATGCAGAAGCAAAATCTTTTGGTGTCCTGCAATTCAAAGAATAAAACAAATGCTCAGAAAGACTTATTCTTGCAAAAACAGTACTTGGTATTTTACGGTTTTGTTATTTGAGCTATTTTGAGACATTGATATGAAAATTTAAAATCATACAACACAGAGTATTGAAAAGATCTGACATCATATTTTGCAAAAATAAGTTTGTTTGAACGTGTGTGGATAGTATGTGAAATTGTAGTTTTTTGGAAGTCATTTTAACAAACAAGACATACTATAGCAACTTCGCCAATTGAGAATCTAGATTATATAATAAGTGATCTGATGATCAAAATAAATCCACTCTTACAGCAGAGCAGGTACTGTCTGGCAATAAACAGTGCAGACATAAACATCATAGTGAAGAAACAAATAACATTGATTTTGTTTACATTCTATTTAAGTGTCTCGACTCCTGTGTTTAGATCTTATTACTGATTCACTAAATTACAGAATTGAAGATATCGTCACAAAATAATTAAATCTATTACATATGCTATGTATCGAAGCAATTGCAGTAGTGGTTTTCAAGAAGTTGAAAAAAGTCTAAATATCTTTATTAAATGCTCAAATCTAAGGTACTTATACAAATTAACGAATAACGTATTTGAGTTCATGGTAATTTTATCCAGTAATTCCTAGTACATAACTGCACTATAGATTGGTATAACAGGATTATTTATTAGCTATCCTGGAAGTGAGCAGGTATGGTGATGGAAATTTTAAAGTGTGCAAATAGCAAAATAAATTATTTAGAAAAAATACATATATACTTACTAGTAGTACATTTTGTGTGCATTGCTTAACTAATTTTGATTCGAAATTTCTATTTTCCCAAAAAATTTAATGAAAGTTGAATATCAAATTTCAGGTAATCTAATTGACCACTTACCGACCATTTACACATTTTGATTCTATAAAATACTAACTACAAATGTTCAGAAAGACTTACTCTTACAAAATATGGCATCAAACTTGTCAGTACTCGGTGTGGCACTGTTTTGATCAATTGAGCTACATAGTAGGTCCCTGACTATATGTGTAACATGATGTATATCAATTGAGCTACATAGTAGGTCCCTGACTATATGTGTAACATGATGTATATCAATTGAGCTACATAGTAGGTCCCTGACTATATGTGTAACATGATGTATATCAATTGAGCTACATAGTAGGTCCCTGACTATATGTGTAACATGATGTATATCAATTGAGCTACATAGTAGGTCCCTGACTATATGTGTAACATGATGTATATCGATTGAGCTACACAGAAGGTCCCTAACTATATGTGTACTATGATGTATATCAATTGAGCTACATAGTAGGTCCCTGACTATATGTGTAACATGATGTATATTAATTGAGCTACATAGTAGGTCCCTGACAATATGTGTAACATGATGTATATTAATTGAGCTACATAGTAGGTCCCTGACTATATGTGTAACATGATGTATATCAATTGAGCTACATAGTAGGTCCCTGACTATATGTGTACTATGATGTATATCAATTGAGCTACATAGTAGGTCCCTGACTATATGTGTAACATGATGTATATTAATTGAGCTACATAGTAGGTCCCTGACAATATGTGTAACATGATGTATATTAATTGAGCTACATAGTAGGTCCCTGACTATATGTGTAACATGATGTATATCAATTGAGCTACATAGTAGGTCCCTGACTATATGTGTACTATGATGTATATCAATTGAGCTACATAGTAGGTCCTTGACTATAGTATATGTGTAACATGATGTATATTAATTGAGCTACATAGTAGGTTCCCGACTATATGTGTTACATGATGTATATCGATCGAGCTACATAGTAGGTCCCTAACTATATGTGTACTATGATGTATATCAATTGAGCTACATAGTAGGTCCCTGACTATAGTATATGTGTAACATGATGTATATCAATTGAGCTACATAGTAGGTCCCTGACTATATGTGTAACATGATGTATATCAATTGAGCTACATAGTAGGTCCCTGACTATATGTGTAACATGATGTACATCAATTGAGCTACATAGTAGGTCCCTGACTATATGTGTAACATGATGTATATCAATTGAGCTATATAGTAGGTCCCTGACTATATATGTAACATGATGTATATCGATTGAGCTACACAGTAGGTCCCTAACTATATGTGTACTATA